TGATGATATGTTAAGTAAATTACCTGAAGATTATGTACCACATGAAGTTCGTGGTGCTTTACAAAAACAAGGTGCATTACAACCATTAAATATCTTCTTAAAACAAGAAGTTGATCGTATGCAACGTGTTATAACAGTTGTACGTAATACATTAAAAGATTTGAAATTAGCTATTGATGGTACAATTATTATGAATGAAAATTTGAAAGATGCACTTGATAATATATTTGATGCACGTGTACCAGCAACATGGAGAAAAGTATCATGGGATTCAGCGACATTAGGTTTTTGGTTTAGTGATTTATTAGATCGAAATCAACAATTTTTTACATGGTTATTTAGTGGAAGACCAAATGTGTTTTGGCTTACTGGATTTTTTAATCCACAAGTAAATTTTATTTAAGATATATTTAGTAGATATTTATAAATTGATTTATATAGGGTTTCTTAACAGCAATGAGACAAGAAATTACACGTAATCATAAAGGTTGGTCATTAGATAATGTCGTTCTTGCTAATGATGTAATGAAAATGGCAACAAAAGAAGAAGTAACATCACCACCATCTGAAGGTGTTTACATCTATGGATTAAAAGTTGATGGTGCTGCATGGCGTATGTCACGTGAAAAAGGTGGACATTTAGCTGATCCACCTCCAAAACAACTTTATTCAGATTTACCTGTTGTACACGTATGTTAATTCGATTTTTTTTTCATTTCTACAAAATTAAATTTATTTATTTTCTAGGTTTATGCAACAAATGAACCTAAACCATTGGGTAATGCTTATTATGTTTGTCCAGTATATAAGAAACCACGACGTACTGATTTAACTTTTATATTTTCATTATCATTGAAAATCAATAATAACAATCCAGATTTTTGGTAAAGATTTTTAACTGAATTCTTAATTTTCCTATTAAAAAATTATAATTTTTAGGTGTCTACGTGGTGTTGCTCTTCTTTGCGATACAAAATAAGTCTACGAAAGAATACTATATATTTTATTCAGTTGTTTTGTTGTCAAGCAATAATGAACTTTACTCATTAATGAAATAGTTCTACTCCACGTTTGTGTGTGTGTATTATATTTATATTTTTTTTT